TATTATTTCCGTGTCCACACATGGTGGACCACAGGGTAGGAGACACCTCAAGGGGATTGCAGATGGGACAACACACAAGGAGCATCTCAGCATCTCTTTGGTAAAACATGACAGACACTACAAAGGGTTGTTGGTTTGCTTTTCTTGTTTCTTTTTTTTTTTTCTCCCCAAAGATAACAAGCACCAGGGTTTTGTTTTGCTTTATTTTGTTTTGAAGTGCACCCTTATGGAGAAATGCACACATGGATGTTATATTACATCTTTCAGAATCCCCTCCAGGTTGATTTTACAACTCTCCTGGATGCTTGTTGCAGAGCAGAAGATGGGGCAGAACAAAACCTCATTGTAGAATTCAGCATCTCCTGAATATGGAGTCAGCAATTAATTTACATGCTGCTTTACAGTCCTTTAAAAAAAAAAAAAAAAAGGATGGCTGGTTTGTGAGTAAACACAAAAGCACACGTGCTAAATAGGATAGACCACTGATACTTTTGATCCCATTTTTATACAAACCTAAGGCAAACATTCCTGGAAATAAATGTGACTCTTCCCTTGAGGACCTGAGCTGACACTGATAAAGGAGTCTGGGATGTGGCTACATGTGAGAGAGGAATTATTGACAACACAGGCTTACTCTGTCCCCTTTTTGAGGAGAACAAGTTCCCCTCTCTGGTTTATTTAATACCATTCCCATGGCTGGAATACAGAAGTGTCCTTAGGACATCATTAAGGTCAGGGTTATGTTAAAAGTTTTCAGTGTGCATAAATCTTCACCCCACAAAGCAGGAGAGTAGAAGAGAGAGGAGGTTTACTTATTTGCTGTCTTGGTAAATGCTCAAGTAATGTTCATTCCATGGGGAAATGGGCTGCTGGGATTTATTATATGGTTGTTCCCTCATTGGTGATAGTTTTATAACCCAACTTGCTCACAGATTATTTTCAAAAATATAGAAATTATGGTCTTGTTAAAGTAAAAAATGGGAAATTGAAATTCTAGTTTGTCTGCAAAATCATATTTCCAACCCTTTTTCTGCCTGAGTTGGAAATTCAGAACTTTTTCCAAAATATCTGTATTTTGCAGTGACATTATTCACTTACTGAGTCAGGTTAAATGACTCAAATACTCCTGCCATTTTAACAGTATTTTCTGCTAAGAAGTTTTCAAACTAACTTTGCATAGTGAGAGTTGATCCCCCAGATCTTTAGGGCCCCAAACTCTTTCATTTCTCTGGTTTTCTCACCTGGCACTTCAGCTACTGCCATTTCATTTTACTGTTGACTAGTTTAATTCTTTTTGTTCCAGCATGGATGTCATTTAATCCTGTCTAATCCGAACAATGGATTTCTCCTTTTGAAAAAAAAAATAATTAAAAAAAACAAAAATCGTTTAAAAAAAAAAAAGGAGAAGAAAAGAGGATTTAGATGAAAGAGTTTAAATCTGTCTCCCTCTTGCTGCAGAATTTAGTGAATGACTTGGTGCCAGGTTGGTGTTAATTAAAACCCAAGAAGCCCCAGCATGGTGAGCTGGCAGCATTTTTGGGATGGTCCTGGCTGTTGTACTCCTGGTTTCTGTGGAGTGAAAGAGATTTATGAGGAGCTGTATTTCCCTGTGGATTCTGCAGAGTGTGTGCAAACATGGGAAACCAAAGGGAATCTGATTTTACTAAACAAACTCTCATGCCTGGCAAGTTCAGAGCTACTTGGGGATGGAGCCAACCTGGCACGAAGGAGCAGGAGTGTAGCTCCAAGGGATATTCCGTTCTGGAAGGTCTTTATGTCTGGGTATTTTTCTTTCTTCTATTTGTCCTTTTGTTTTGCTTACACGTATCAGGGACTCTGAAACTTCGCCTTGCCAGGTTAAATTATTCAGCAGATTCTTTGCTTCAGGTCAGGTTGCTTTGTGCTCTGTGCCTTATAACTCACTCCTGTTTGGTTTTCCTTAAGTACAGGAGTCACAGTTTTTCCTTCCTAAGCACTCAGCGCTGGCTCTAACTAATATATATTTGCTAAACAATAATTTTAAGTGTTGTTACAATGTTATGAGAAGGATCTGTCCGAGCAGCAGCAGATGGCTGGTTCATTCCAAGCACCTGAATATAAATGGCAAAGCTGAACCAGCACTGAATTTCCTTTCTCATTCTTCCCTTCTTCCCATAATATCTGGGCATCAGAACACAAGCAGCCCAACTCCTTATGGTTAAATTAGTTGAGAAGAACCTTATAGGAAATCAATGTATCATCTGATCTGTCTTAGACTGAATTTCCCTCTTGTTTTATTCCAGTGGAGATACTTGAGGTGGGTGGGGGGTGTATATAATTCAATATATTGCAATAAAATCTATATAACCAAATTTATGTGCTAAAACATGTTCAGGAGTTTTAAGCCACATTCACTTAAAGTGCTCGAAAAAAAAGCAGAACAAAATAAAACAGGCTGAAGTGTAGAGAGAATTGTGTTTATATTGCAAGGAACAGAAACCAAAATCTGATGTCAGTGGCAATTTAACCAAAAGAGACAAATGAGGCTTTTTTAGTATTGTTATTTGTTTGTTTAATTTTTCCTTAATCATCTTTTGCTAAGTGGTTAAATGAGAGCAGAACAACACATTAAAGTTAATTCTCAGCTCTTAACATTTTGCTAAACTTCAGCTTTCTCCTTTGAAAGATTTTTGCAAAAAGCTCAGAAAACTTCCCCACCCCAAAAAAATCACAACTAATTTCTCCTCGTTTCCTGGCAGTGATTTACTACCACAGCGCTCAAGTACAATCTCAAGTTACTTAAACTTCATTGTTTTTCAAAATATTCTGCAGTATTTACAAGTTAGGAATAACACCATCCATAATTAGAGCTTCATTGTGCTTGACAAGTGAAGGAATGAAGTGCATTTTGTGATGCATTACTCAGTCTTTGATTGTTGGTTTGTTTTTTTCTTTCTTTCTTGTGATTTCCCAGCTTTTTAAACCTTTTGGGTTTTTTTTTCTATCTCTTCAGTTATTCAACAGTTTGGTATATTTTAGAATTCACAGTATGGCTCCCAGGCTTCATTGCAAATTGATGCAATTCTGTGATTAAATGTTATGCCAATTATATTCTCACAGCAAACTTCAGTAGAAGGACTTGGGTTCATTTTGCACCATTTTCTAGATTTGCCAGTAAGCAAAATGAGTTTTTTGAAAGTGGGGTGGAAGCAACCAGGCCCTTTGGCATGATCGTGGAATCACAGGACGGGTGAGGTTGGAAGGGACCACAGTGAGTCATCTGGTCCAACCTCCTTGCTCAAGAAAGGAGCACATGGCACAGGATTGTGTCCAGCTGGTTCTGAGATATCTTCAATGAAGGACACTCCACACATTCTCTGGGCAACCTGCACAGTAAAGAAATTCTTCCTCATGTTCGGGTAGAACTTCCTGGGCATCAGATCCTGCCCATTCCTCGTGTCCCATTGCTGGACCCCTCCGAGCAGAACCTGGTCCATCCTCTGCCCCCTCCCTGCACACATGGACAGACATGGGTGAGGTCCCCTCTCAGTGTCTCCTCTTGAGGCTGAACAGCCCCAACTCCCTCAGCCTTTCCTCATAAGAGAGATGTTCCATCCCTTCATCATCTTTGTAGCCTCTACTGGACCTGTTCCAGGAGCTCCATGTCTCTCTTGTCCTTAGGAGCCCAGAGCTGGACACAGCTCTCCAGATGTGACTCACCAGGGCTGAGTGGAGTGGCAGAATCACCTCCCTGACCTGCTGGTGATGCTCTTCTGAATGCATCCCAGGATACCATTGGCCTTCTTGTCCTCCAGGACACACTGCTGGTCATGGACAGCTTGTTGTCCACCAGAACCAACAGGTCCTTCTCCACGGAGCTGCTCCAACATCTCCAGCCGGGTGGACTTGAGTTGCAACAGGACCCAAACAGATAAATGAATTACTGTGCAATTGGTGTCAGGAGAAGCAGATTCTTAGGAAATGTCTTCAATGCTTCAGAAAGGATCCAGGGCTGGATTGCCCACTACAAGGGTGACATGGACACACTGTTTGCCAGGCAGTGGAGTCTCCATCCTTGGAAACAGCCAAAACCAAGTGAACATGGTCCTGAGCAACCTGCTTTAATTGTCTGCTCTGAGAAGGAGTGTTGGACTAAATGATTTCCAGAGGTTCCTGCCAATTTTAATGTTTCTGTGATTCTCTAATTTGTACAGCTTAAAAAAAAAAAATACATCCTCTTTGAGTGTCTGTTTTTCTGCTCTGGTAATGTTGCCGTGCTGCTAGTGCATTTAGCAGTGTCTTTATTATTATGTCTGTTATTGCTAAATTAATTCTTTTTATAAGAGACAGTGTCGTATGAAGTCAACATATGCTCACATTTGCTCTTTTATATGATAAGTGTTCGGAAATGAAGGAAACAAACTCATGGGCAATTTGCTGTGTTTTCACTGAGAAAATGTCAGTGCTGAACCCAGTTACTCCCTTTTTTTTTTTTTTTTGCTACTTGAAAACATATAAATGAATCTGTTCATCAAACAGCTCTTTCTTTGTTGCCTCACCAATGAGATTTCAAACTCAGTGAGTTTTTGATGGTATCTCCATCAGTTTATGAATAGCATCTTATCAGATGGATGCTGTGCTGAAACGTGGCCTTTTCCTGTGTAAGAATCCACACTCTGGGATGAGTGGCTCTTTTTTAGAAAGGGAAGTGTTTGCTGCTGTTGTTTTTATTGTTGTTTTTCCTTAGTCCTCCACAATTCTGAAAAACAGCCATAAAATCTGATCATTCTACTTGTTTCCTTCACAAAGCTGGAGTCAGCTGGTTGACTTGGATCCAGCAAACCATGGCTCTAAGGGACTCTTTTATTGACTGTGGGAGCATTATAACTTTCTCTTTTACTTCCACACGGATAAAGATTTCTGGGTTTGTGTTTTTCTTTGCAGAACTGGACTGTGGAATGTGCCTGTTATGCTTGGATATTCCCCATTCCTTGTTAATACTGGACTTTCTGTCTTTTCAGAGTGACATGTTGGATGTGAACCAGATCATTAAAGACCTGGCCTCCATGGTGCATGAGCAAGGAGATGCAATAGGTAGGTGTCACATTTAAATTATGGGCTTTATTACCCTCTTCCACCACTCCAGTGTGATATTGTCCCTCATGAACAGCTCTTTGTTGATGCTGTGATTATTTTCCCTGGGGTTTGGGGCATTTTGTACATCCAGAGATGTTTTGATGTGACAAACTGCCCTGTGCAATAGGGTTCTTGTGTTAAGGATAATTTGCTGGTATATTTAGTATAAAATACAATTCACAGGGAGATGAATCTGTTCCTTTTTTTGACTGTAAAAAGGAAGCTGAAGAATATATGACATTAACTGGAAAGGGATCCAATTCTTCCTTTCTACCTGGAACTGTAATTAAAAAGCAATAGTAGTAGCAATTATTGTTATGATTATTGATGATGGTAGAGAAAATTAAGCAGCTTGATTTTCCCAAATAGAATTTTCATTCCACGTTGCAGGGTGTGTCTAATTAAATCTACAGAAACCTGGCACCATGATGTGCTCATATGCATAGTCTGAAGTGGCTGCCCATTAGTTGCCCTCCTCAAGGAGAAAACTGGGAAAAGAAAAGAGAGGAACCCCTGGTATTATCTTTAAGAGCAGACCATCACTGACAGCCACCAGTTTTTGTGAATAGAGAGATAAGAAACAGTGGATCAACTCCCTCTGACCTTTGTCACTGCTCTCTTCTGATTAACTTAACAAAAATCAGACTTTATTTCTTTTTTTGTGTATGTGCTTCTGAAGCAACTGCCTCCTTCTAAATTTGAGAGCTAATAGTCCTAAAGGCTGGTTGAGGGACCTAAAGTCCAGAGCAGCAAGATTTGTGGGGATATTTCTAACCTGCAGCGTTCAGCTGAAGTTCTCTCTGACGCTCCTGGGAGCAGGATCAAGTCCTTAGACAGCCATATGTAGATCATAAAAGAAACTCTTCTCTGCTGTTTATTAATCACTCTGGATTTTTTTGCCAAACCCATACCTTTGCAAGTCTACATTAGCATAAGATATTTTCTTTCACACTGAAATGAGGTAGTTACACCCTTCTGAGAAATTCAGTTTACAGGGACAGGGAAAAAAAAATCAAAATTATATTTAAAACTCTTTTTATTTTTTTTTTTTTATTTTAATGCTACTTTGAAAGCTTATTTTTGTACATGGATAACTTTGGAGCCTGATTCATCTCTAAAAGCACATCAGATGCTAATGCCCTGAGGGACATGACAACATACATCAGCTAGCTTCAAGATCCTCATAACTCCTTTTCTTGAGGCAATATTTATTATTTTAAGATGTTACCCATGCATAGAAGCCACCCCAGTACTAACTTTCCTGTGAGAAGTCGTTAGACTAAGTAGGACATTTTGTCTTTGAGACAGCATAAGGTTTTTGTTGCTCTTCTCTTGTTGTTCTTCTCCTTCTTACACTGCAGCAGATTTTTAATGGTTTCTTTAGGACTATCTTTTAATCCTGACAGCCAGTCAGGGCATCTTCCCAACCAGTTGCTGAAGGGTCCCACTGTTTATCTTTTGACATTCAAATTACACAAAAGTGAGATTAAGAATCAGGAGGCAAAGGGAGTTGAAACCCCCCCAGTGAAAATTCAGTGATGACAAGAGACAATTATTTTGTCACTTGGTTCATTTTTTAATGCATCCATCTTACATGCATGCAATGAAAGCTCTTTGTGCTTGTTTAGAAAACACGGGGAAGATACAGAACCAGGGAATATGGGACGTGCATCTCAGCAAAATGCTCCCAGGGCTGTGGAGCAAACCCTGCCTGGGTTCACCTGAGCAGGGGAGAGTTGTGGGAAGAGCTTGTCTAGTCTGTGCATGGCACAGGCAGAGCAATCCATGCTTCTCACAGAAACATAAAAGGAGTTTTTCCAGCATATGGACCATTTCCTTAATGAACACATTGATGAAACTCCCTTGGGGAGAGAGCAATTTCTGCCATGCAAGGAAGAAATAGAATGCAGACTCGGGGAACCACATCTCTGTTATTTTATGTCTTCAGCAAATAAACTCTGTCCCTGTGTTCCTGGTCATGGCATCTCTTTGCTACACATATTTAGTTAAGCTTTACCATATCAGTGAGTCCAAACCCTCAAAGCCAAAACAAGTTGGTGGATTGGGTTACCTATGAGAAAACAGAGTCCTTCCAACACAATCTGACAGGAGTTCTTGGCAAAAACATCCCTGTGCAGCTTCATCACACAAGATGCTGATGAGGGGAAAGGGTGCAAGGAGGAGGACAATAATGGGTGAAATCAATAATTGGCTGTAAATTGGTGTTGGTTACATGGGTTTTGTTTCCATGGGACCCTGTTTAGGGATTAGCAGCTGCTTGGGAGAGATGGGATCCACCTCATAATGAGGACATTAAACTAGTAATGATGGGGGAGGGAGGGGTGACCAGCAGACAGGATTGCTGGAAAAAGGACATGGGGTGGTGTGGCAGGAAGGGTTCACAAAGTCATCAAAATGGGATTGTGGGCATGGTTACCTCTAGCACTTCATGTGAGCATGGAAATGCCTGCAAGGCACCTCTGTCATAGACAAATATCCCAAATCCTCTCCAGGAACTGAACATGCTGGGACTCACCTCTAAAGTACCTGGATGCTAGTTCACACAGTGTGGGGAATAAACTTGAGGAGTTAGAGATCTGTGGGAAGTTACAGAGCTGCAATTTTGTTGGGATCATGGAGGTGGAGCAGGTTGGCTCCTGGGATGAAGTGTTGAATTGGAGGGATATGGGCTCTTCAGGAAGGACAGGAAAGGAAGATGAAGAGGAAGAGTTGCCCTTTATGTGAGGGAGCAGCTGGAGTGCATGGGATGCTGCCTGGGAATGGATGAGGAGCTGATGGAGAGCTTATGGTCAGGATTAAAAAGAGAACAGGCAAAGTGTCCTCTGTAGACACATAGGAACAGCCTCACATTTACAGAGTCTGGTCCTCATGGGGGATTTCAGCCACCCCAGTATCTGGTGGAAGGACATCAGGGCATAAATGTTGCAGGAGGTTCTGGAGTGCACTGATGACAACTTTGGGAACCTGATGTACAAATGTCAAGATCTCCAGATGGCCGGAAGAGGACACGTCCACTAAACTTTACTGTCATGGCAGCACAAGGGTCCTTCAGCCAAGGTATCCAAGGATTAAGGACTTGGGACTGTGAGAAGTAAATTATGTTGGAGGGGGTTGTTACAGCAGCAATCACTGCTTTCCATACTCATATGGCCACTCAACTGAACTGTAAGTTCAACAGAAGTCTGAAACATTCCCAGTATTTTAATACTGAACATGACTGTTTTACATGTGCAAGCTTTGACTTTCATTGTCTGTGCTGGGATATGTAGACAAAGTTCTATGGAACCAGTTTTGTAACTTGTTTTAGGGAGAAGAGAATCCTTAAATCCTCTGAAGAAAGTCTCAACAACACAGCTGCCAATACTTATATTGGTACCTGATGAAGTGGATATTTGTCCTTTTTTTGTAGGCTCCTGTTTGTCTTGTAACAGAGAATAAAGAGGACCCGAATAACACAGTTATTGATTTATCTGTGCCCATAGCAAAAGGAAATGCTGTTCTGTGTTTTAGAAGGGCTATTTTTCCATCCTACCTGTGTATTAACCGTAATAGTTATGCCAGAATAACCAGCTAGACCTACATCCCTTATCTAAACTACTCTGATTCAATCTTCACCACTTATATCACTGTTTATAGCTCCATCACATTTCTCAAAGCCACAAGGAAAGACCCATATTGTGCTGAAAACATTTCAAACTTTTGACAGAGTCATGTTTCTTCCTCTTTTGAACAGTTTTGGAACCAAACTTTTGCTGGTGTATCTATAACCTCCTCAACTCCTTACAATGGGAAGAGATCCCAAGATCACATACCAGGCACTTATTTTAAAAGTACAACAGCACAGACACAGGAAGTATTTTACCAATCCTCCCCTTCTTTGTCCAGACCAAATGCAGACAAATCTATCTTTACACAACAAAACCTGCTGGCTGAAAGAATCATAGAATCACAGACTGAGTTGGAAAGGACCCTCAAGACCATCCAGTTCCAAACCCCCTGACGTGGACACCTTCCACCAGACCAGATTACTTCAAGCCCTGTCCAACCTGACCTTGAACACTTCCAGGGATGGGGCAGCCACAGCTTCTGTGGGCAGCCTCTTCCAGGGCCTCACCACCCTCACAGTCAAGAATTTTTCCTAATACCTAATCTGAATCTACTCTCTTTTAGTTTGAAGCCATTCCCCCTTGTCCTGTCACTCCAGGCCCTCGTAAAAAGTCCCTCTCCATGTTTCTTGCAGCTCCCTTCAGGTACTTGAAGGCCACAATTAAGTCACCCCAAAGCCTTCTCTTCTCCAGGCTGAACAATCCCAATTCTCTCAGCCTTTCCTCATAGCAGAGTTGCTCCATCCCTCTAATTAACTTGGTGGCCTCCTCTGGACTTGCTGGAACAGACCAATATCCTGCTGTGTGAAGCTAAAGACTTCCTCGGACTCTTTTCCCACCGATACTTATCCAGACTTAGGTCTTGCTGCTACTAAGGTTTCATTTCACTCTTGAAGTTGGGGTATTTTATATCTGAAAATAACAGGGTGGAGAAACTTCTTAACATGATCTAAAGTCAATGCTCCCTCACTTAAATATCTTCACATGACCTCTGTCAGGCAGGGGCCCACAGACCCGACAGGAGAAGTATAGACATGGCAGCTGGTGCTTTCCTTCAGTCTCAGAGGAACCTCTTGATGGGCTCAATATATTCAGTCCTTGAGCAGTGTTCATATTCACTGATGCACCCCATTGTCACTTGTTGCCTAATGATGACAATAATAACAATGCATTTCCTTCAGAGTAAAAGATATTTGCATGAATGCAAATGAGTTGCTTATTTTGGAAGCTTTGGAATACAGGGAGGGTTTTTCAGTTTTGGATTGTTTTTTTGGTTGGTTAGCTGGTTGGTTGATTTTTTCCCCCTTGAAATCAAGTCCACTTTGCTGCCTG